GTGTGTTAAGTGTATTCAAAAAACTCATAAGTGGTTCACAAGAGAAGATAACTTTGTACAGTTCAACAAATATAAAAGCGATAAATGAGCATTAAGTAGCACATTAAGCCATCATAAACAATATATCCAAAAAAAAAATTATAATAAAATCATGTAAAAGTCAACATAACAAAGCTCGAATTCTGGTTAGTCGCCAGAGATGTCACACCCCTTTTTCGCGCAAGGCTGGAGAGGTTTTCCTAATTTAAGTGACGTTATTGATTAAGGGATTATTTTGTTTATTTTTTCAGAGTCTCCACTTGAAATTGAGTTGTGATGTTCCAAGTCACCTTTTCGAATCCCTAATCAATAGGAAATGACTCTTTTAGTTTTGGTCTACGAACTAGAAATTCGGGTAAGGAATTTTGTTGACCGAGGAGAAGGTATTAGGCATCCCTCAAGTCCCGTGGTTCTAGCACGGTCGCTTTTATTGACTTATACATATTTTAATACGTTTTTGGATACTTTGTGTCTAAGGCCATGATTCACTTATTTTTAAATTGTTAAATATTTATTAGTCTTAACCGGATGCATAACTGCATTCTCGATCTTGACATTTTAGAGACATAACTGTCTTCTTTACATCACACTTAATAACCTTATTTTTTATAAGTCACTACCTTAAATTAATAAAAACTAATTATATTAGTGGACAACGTGCGTCACCGCATCCTTGAGTTTATTTTAATGTCTCAAAAAAAATGTGTAACCACATTCTTAATTGAAACAAATATTTTTTAATTTGTTTAAGTGTTTGATCTAACATTAAAAGAAAATATGTATTCCTAAAAAAAAACAAATAAAGTAAAATACTAAACTTCTAGAATAAATTTTTTGATCATTTTTATATGTTTTTATTTTTTGCAATTTCTTAAAGTTGAAGTCAAAATTAAGTGTACACTTTCTAATCAAAGAAAACACTACCGAATTACAAAAAAATAAATCTCATTTTTTGTTTGATAAAATAAAACAACAATAATTTATTTATATATTTATTTTTTAGCCTAACTATACCTACTTTAATTATCATTCCTATCTAAATCAAGACAAGAACAATGTTATGATCCGTTCATTTTTAAGAGATCACAACTAATAAATAAAAAACAAAATCATCAATTAAAGCTACCTTCATTCATGAAATAGAGATATAACAACTAACAAATGAATCATTTCTATCAAATTAATGAAGGAAACAAAATATAATAAAACTTGTCATAAAATTACATCAAATTCCATGAATAAATTAAATAAAAGATAAAGTAAAGTTGAATACCGCAAAATCTTAACCGAAGTTTGATTAGAGCACCCATAACTTTTGTAGGTTGTTTGTGATAGCATATGTGTTTGTGTTGATATGAAAAGAATGGGTAAGGAAGAAAAGATGTGAATGTGTTGGTGAGTTTTTAAAAGGATAATCCAATAAAATGGGAAGGTTTTTCTTCTTCTTTTTTTCTCGTGTAATCTGGTTCCCCCTCTTTTTTTGTTTCTGTCCGTGTATATGTAGGAGTGTATGTGTGTGTTGGGTATGTTGTAGTGTAGGTCGTGTGTAGTGTGTGTATTGGATAGTGGAGTGGGTTGGGATAGTGGTGAAGTAGCATGAGGAGAGGGAGTTACGTTATTATAATATAATATAATATAATACAATATCACAAAATATAATAAGAAAATTATTTAATTATTTTTTATACTAGCAAAAATTTAGTAGTTAATAATAAATTATAATTAAGAAATACTGGCCTATTTATTAAACAAAACATATCTATTTTTTGTTATTTTCAAATCTTTTAAAATAAACTTACTAAGATGAGATAAAACAAAAATATCTAATTTATATATAATAAACATTTAAGGAATTAAAAATAGTGTAAGACTTTATGTTCGGTCAAAAATTACGTGTCTACAACATGTTCTATCAACCAAATGCAATAATATGATTTTCTTATGAAAAATTGTTTTTAAGAAATGGCTTCTATCGTATCAAATTTATTTTTCGAGCTTCAAAGATTACTAAAAATTTTAAAATAAATAATCTTTCATAATGTTGCATTTGATGTATTAAAAATGTAATATGTGCAAGCTAAAGTAAAATTACTAGTACCATTACACAAAATTATTTTTGTATTTTTTTTCATGTTTATAGGAGCAATCAATCAACTTACAAGGAACTTGGCTTATGAATGGGCTAAAGATAATATTCGAGTTAACGCAGTAGCACCTTGGATTATCAAAACATCCTTCACCGAAGCACTAAAGGTAATTTACTAGCTAGGAGACTTACATATTTTTCTTTGTGGAAATAATTTATTATAATCATGATTTTGAATTATTAATCGTTAAAAATCCTAACAATCTTATATATGTTCATAAACTTAAAAATCCTCTAAATGGAAAAATGATTTTCTCTTCAAAAAACCTAGCCATTGTTTTTAAAAGGAAAATGGTCTGATATAACTCTCAACTTTGTCATTTAGAGCTGCTTACATACACCCGACTGTTATAAAGTGGCACACATATACCCTGTTCTCTGATAGAAGTAAAAGATAATCAATTTTAAACTCTTTTTTCAAACATGATTATTTTTTACTGCTTTGATTACCGTTGTTAAAGTTTCTTATTATTTTATTCTTTAGTGTAAAACTATGAAGAAGAAAAAGAACTGTGAATGGAAAAAATAGAAATATATTAAAATTAAAATTTTCCGGATTTATTGTAGTAACATTTTTTGTATTTGTAAAAAAATAAAATTGGGACATATATGGTCAATTATACAAGAAAGTTAGTATTTTCCGGATTTGTCACAAAAAAATTGTTGAATATACATAGATTATTAATTTAAAACCCAATTATTCAAATGAACTAGAATTCCAAATCTCTAAACTACTTTTAATCTTGATTTCGCCTCTGTCTGATCACTTATGTGATTACTAATATTTAATCTAATTTTTGTTCCAGCACAATCCATTAATTAAAGAACTTATGGAAAAAAATATTAGTAGAACACCAATTAGCAGAGCTGGAGAACCAAAAGAAGTTTCAGCAATGGTGGCATTTCTTTGTTTCCCTGCTGCTTCATATATTACTGGTCAAGTTATATGTGTTGATGGTGGACTCACAATTAATGGTTCTTCTTAACTATTTTATTTTATGTGTTAAATAATAAATAATGTACTTGATTGATATGTAAGATGAACCTTTTTTTTAATTAGTTTAGTTAATTTGGTCAAGATGGGTTGAGTTACTTATGCACTAAACAACGTTAGTATTTAACAGTAATAACATAATTGTCGTTATATTATATTTAATGATAATAATAAATATGAATAGTTATTGTATGCTGCCTTCACGTGCAAGGCATGTGTTGTGACCACATATATATAGAAATTTAATTGAGTAAACAATTTACAATACTCTCTTGTTAAATGTTATTTGTCATTCTTACTAAAAATAGATGATCATTTTTTATTTGTTTTCTGCTATTTTAAAAAGAAAGGAGTATTAAATAAAAGATAATCTAGTTAAATTATTCTCTAATTATAATTTTTGATTTTGTTCAAGAATCAACTGCATATGAATACTTTACCTAGCGGCACATTCTCCAGGTCTGAAGGGATTCAATACCCAACTACCAATTCCTCTTGGAACTGTTGTAGAAAATTCATACTTTCTTTTTGATGTTGCCCATCCGTAAATAGGTTCAAGCTAAGATTTTGCTCATTAGCATAATGATATATGTCTGCCTCTAAGCAGTGGTGTCGATAGTGAGCTTTTAGTGTGCTTAAGCCCTGAAGCGAGGCTCAAAATGTTTTGAGTCACTTAATGTGGACTTTAAAGTTGTCATCAAGATTCTAAGGCATTCTTTTGCTTGCTAATGATCTTCTTTTGAAGAGGAGACACTAAACAATTGATATATATTTTAGGGACTATTCTATACCTATTCCCAGATATAAGAGACCGTTTTTGTCATTGTCTTGCTAGCTTTGCATCCTACCAAGGCTAAACTACTATTGTTTTTGAGACATCAGTTTCTACTATCACAAGAACAAAATTGTAGTTCATATAAGCACAACTTAACGAAGCATTGCATGCATCTTTGTAGAATTCGATGAAAAGTCAGTTTTTGACTTATTAGACTGTTTGGCAATTATCAAAGTGACTTAAAATAAGTTATTTTTGGCTTATTTTAAGTCAAAAGTTAAAAGTAGGGTGAAGGCTACTTTTTTTTTAACTTAAAAGTCATTTTATGCTGATCAAGTATATGACCTTTTTGCCCTTAATTCTTTTACACAATTCCCAAATTGCCCTTAAAAGCCTAACATTTCTTTACCTCAATTTTCTTTTTCACGTTTGTGCGGCTGAAAGCGTGAAGCGTTCTTCCTTTTCTCTCGATTGATAGCAATGGTATCAGATCTAGGAAAATAATGAATAGTTTTAAGTTTTTTCTTGATTATCTTTTGATTTTTGGTTTTTTTTTATTATGTTTTTTTTTTGTGTGTCTTCTGTCGCTGATCATGTTTTGTGTGTTTTCTGTGATCTATTCAAATAATATATTTTTAAAATCTGCAATAAGTTGCGCATATAAAATTAACTTAAATAATAAATTTATATTCCTCTTATAAATAATTTGTGATGATAAAGAAATATGTGAATGATAGGAAAACATTATTACTTCTGGATGTAAAATATAAATTAATTTTGTTTTAATTTTTTTAAGAATAAAAACCTTGAATTAATCAACTTTATATCATGTTAACAACTTTAAGGGTATTTCAGACATTTTGATAAAAAAAAAAAAGTGTTTACCAGCACTTATTTGCAAACACATCAACAACTTCTTTTTCAACTGCAGCACTTTTATCCAAACACATAACTACTTATTTTAAAAATAAGTTTCAGCACTTTGGAAAGTTACTTTTTAAAAGTTACATTTTTAAGCTAATCCAAACGGGCTCTAAGTCTAATGGATGGCAGTTGACTCATTTGCACTTTTGGCCTGTTTTGTGTTGGTCTTTAATTTTTACCCCTTCGGAGTAAATAATTTTTTTGTTGGACATAAGGGTTTTTTTTGTATCGTAATGTTTTATAAGTTATATTCTACATCTTTAAAGAATTCCCACTAGGTCAGCATAGGTTTGATTTTTAGGAAGAAAAATTAAAGATCAATCTAGCTATTTAAAAGATAAAAATTTAAAATCAATCTATTTGAATGGTAAAAAAAAATTACTTCCGATAGATTCTTTCATTTTCTGTGTGAAGTTAATTGAACTCCATATAATTAAGTTAATTGTTGCTATATTTTAATCAAATATTATTAAATTTGACTTAATTTTTTTTTTATGTTTATTAGATAAATAAAGCTGTTGTGGTTGTATCAAACTTAGCAACAGAATCCACTCATGAAGATTACAACACTATGATGGGCACAAATTTTGAGGCTTCTTACCACTCATCTCAACTAGCACATTCCTTCTTAAAAGCCTCAAAAAATGAAAGAATTGTTTTCATTTCTTCTGTTGCTGGCTTTGTCTCTCTGCCTTTATCTTCCATTTATTCAGCAGCTAAAGGTACTAAGTTTGTTGGACTATGATCGAAATCTTATGTTTTATGTCTATTTTTTAAAATATTGATGTCACGTAGATATAACTGGATAATTTATGAGAAAGAATGAACTTGAAAATGAGTGATCTTCAATTTATTTTACCTCGTTTGCTTTATTTAGGCAACATTTTTATATTTGTCCGATCAGAAATTCAAGATCACTTATTTCAAGATTATTAGGGTATTATTTAATTACTTGTTATTGGATATAACTTGTATACCCCCATTAAAGTGTCAAAGAGGCAAGTCGAGCTGAATTTGTATGGATGAAAATTGACTGAGTAAATAAACTAGTGGGTCGAGTGGGCTGGTTTTAACATGTCCAAAGGTGTGTTTGGGTTGAGTCAAAATGAGCTAAACGGTGACTCATAGTCCAAACCGCTCAACTTTATACCATTGTTATCAATTTCTAATTTCTTTGTTTGTTTGCTTATTTTTGTTTACTTACCAAATAAAACTAATCACTTTCTTTTATTAAAGGCTATATATAATGCATTAAACAAAAATAAAGTTACTTTTGTAATTGTTTTTGATAAAAATAATTCATGGATTAATCTGAATTACATAATTAGCTCAAATTAAATCATCTTTTAGATAGACATATCAACATTAATTGAGTACATAAATAAATGGATTATTAACCTTTTAAATTTAAATAAATTGAATAAATTATATTTTCATAAATTAATTTTTCAGACGGCGTAAATAATATTTACAACTACAAGATGTAGGAATATTATTTGATTTCTTTTCCCATTTTTTCCCTCTAAATTAAGGGGCAATGAACCAATTGACAAGGAGTTTGGCATGTGAATGGGCTATGGACAATATTAGAGTTAATGCAGTTGCACCATGGGTAATCAAAACCTCTCTCATTGAAGCAGCTTCAGTAAGTTTAAGCATATTATAATTATGAGTTTAAGCATATTTCAATATGGTTATTTTTTAGATCTGAATCTTAATTATTAAGATTTTCATCATTATATAAGTTTGTTTTATATCCACTTAATATATTTGTAGAACAATTTTAATATCATTAAGGTGTCTGTCTATTCGAAAATTTCTGCAAAAATGACAATTCATAAGATTATTTATTATCGTTACGATAATTAATTATCATTATCAACTATTATCGTCCATCCACCTGCAACCAACATCTTCAGTTAATACAACTACCATAGCTATCAATCACTACAATAAATTATTACCACAACAAATCACCATTATAATCATCATCACTAACTTCATTACCAACCCATCAATTACTATTGCTAATCACTATCATCGATCAGACATAATACATCACGATATATTTTCAACCATCATGATCATTCATAACCACCATTGACTATCATTAGCCGTCATCAAAACTACAGATTTCCACCATCAATTGCCAATCATTATCATCACTACCTACTATCCACAATCATAACATTAACCAACACCCATCCCCAATTGGAAGCACAATCACAACGCTAGTCATTATCATCACCAACCCATTATATGATTTTCTAAAAATATGTTGTTAATGTAGTATTAGATTAATTTAGTATTTTGTTGAATTTTATATTTATTAAGTTATACATTCAGATTTCGAAAAAATAAATCATCTCAATTATTTAATATTCAAATTTTAATGCATCATCTTAATATTCATATGTGCATTTAAATTCAAACACTTTTTAAAAAAATTCATGTCTAGGGTGTTATGTATCGAATACATAAGGAGGGGCCGAGCTTGGTCTCACCTCCAAATATAACAACAATAAAAAATTATCCTTCACAAAAAATAGTACGAAAAGCTAACTTAGACATGCCAACCCTGGATGGTCTGCACCCTTATTTGACCTCCTGGAAACATTAGCAAGTTTCTTCAAACATTCTTTGTATTAAGTCGGAAAAGCCTGTGAGATTCGAATTTTTATAAACATCTTAATATATATATATATATATCACTGGCCATGTGCTTCATATATCACTGGTCAAATTATGTGTGTTGATGGAGGAATAACTATTAATGGATCTTGTTAATCATTGTAATCACATAAAATAATAAATAAATAAATAAATAATTAAAACGTTATTGATTTAATTGTCAATGTTGGGGATTTAATTTATAAGAAGTCTGGAGTTTGAATCTTAGAATTACCTTTAATTTCAAAAATATATTTCCACACTTAGCTAACATTTAAACTCATGATTGTACGTGCGTGGATCATATGCTTGGAGTTTGGAGAATGGCTTACCAATTAAATGTTCTTTAATTTTGTAATTTTAAATTTGTCAAGTAGAAAGTTAGAATTAAAAATGTGTTTAAAAAAGAAAAGAAAAATTCTTTTTTAAATGGACTAAAAGTAAAATTAAAACAAATAAATTGAAATAAAAATAAAAGGTTAAATGGAACGTGATAGTTACATAATTCTAGAAGGTTTAATTATGTTGCTCATAACTTGGTTAAAATTTTCAATTTCTTTGGTGGGTGGTTTCTTGATAACAAATATTACGTACCAAGTTAGATTGTTAACGATATTATATAATTTTTTTGAAGAGAAAAAAATATATGGAGATAAAGAAACTTGCAATGATGTTTATATTTATCAAATTTTCAAATACAAAATAGTTACATGAACAAAGAATTTGATTGATACAGAAAATTGAAATAGAAAAGATACTTTTCTACATAGCTTTCACCACCTAAAAGCACATACTTATAGGCTTTAACTAACTTCCTTCGCTATCATCACTAAGCCACCTTCACTATTGCAAGTTGTCTTCGAGTTCGTGACAAAGTCAGAGTTTTTACTAAAAGAATTAATTAAAATATAAAAACGTAAATAGACGAATTATCCGAAGAGGTTTAACATAATTATTGTATATACATAAAAATATGTTTTATCATATATAAATAATATAATTTTCTGTTAAAGAGAATTCGAATAAACCTCTAACTCGGTTCCGCCCCTATCATCACGTGCTAGGCATGTGCTCTGACCAAAATTAGTTACGTGTTAGGTTTAATTAACAATATTAATTAATTTTCTCTTATAACATACTTTTGTTTAGTTTGCTTTTTTTTTAAATATTATTTTTTTAAAATTTCAAACTTCCGATACGTGTAAGACCATAAGATTAATGAATAAAGGGGAAAGGGTCTGATATACCCCTCAACTTTGTCATTTAGAGCTGATATACCCCTCGTTATGAAAGTGGTTCATATATACCCCTACTTATATACAAATGGCTCACATATACCCTTTTCCTCTAACGGAAATGAAAAAAAAATTAATTTTAGTTTAATTTTTTTTAAAAATAAAATAAAATAAAATATAATCCCATATGAGTATATTTAATCCTCCTCAAACATATTTTTTTTTTGACTTTTTTTTTGTTTCAATGACTAATTTAGATTTATTGATGGTCAAATTTATTTATGTTTCACTTGTAAAACTTATTATAGATGACCAAATTTTTTCTTCAAATACAAAAATTAAATTACAATATAGACAAAAAAAATACTTTTAAATTATAATATAGCCAAAAAAAATAGTTTTAAATTTTTTTCTTTACACTGAGGAATGAAATAAAAAAATAAAATAAGAATAAGAAACTCAAATAATTATAATCAAAGAAGTCAAAAAATAATTTATCTGTGAAAAATATTAAATTATACCTTGAACTTTGCTATAAGAATCATATATACCCCTCAATAATTTTTAAGAAAATTAAAAGTAAAAAATATAAATTTAAAACTAATTTTTTCACTTCCGTTAAATGAAGGGTATATGTGAGCTCATTTTGTAACGGTAGGGGTATATGTGAGTTGTTTGTATAACGATAAGGGTATATATGATCCACTTTGATAACAAGGGGTATATCAATTCCAAGTGACAAAGTTAAGGGGTATATCAGGTCATTTTCCCATGAATAAATAAAGAGCTAGAGATCCACTGTGGTACCACTATAGTGGTACTCTAATTGACATGATATATAAATTAGCAATATAATTTGACTATACATGTCACAAACTTTATAATATTACAGCTGTAATTGAACCACTTTTTCATGCCTTGCCTTAATTATTACCTTTTGTCACCTATTTAACACAAAATTATATTTGCTTAATTCCTATTTGATCTGCATTTAACTAGCAAGAACCATAAATGGCAGAAAAAAAGGAATCCAATAGTAGTGAAGATGGAAGGTGGACTCTTCAAGGGAAAACTGCACTTGTTACTGGAGGCACTAAAGGCATAGGGTAAACTTATTTGAGTTTTTAAGTGTTTCATATATCTATCGATTTTACTTGTTTATCTTTTCTGTCTCAGGTCATATGAGATAGTTTGACTAATTAAGACGAAATTTAAGAAATAAAAAAAATGAAATTTGTGGTCTAAATTAAATAAAAAAATGTTTGTGTGACTACAAATCATTTCATTAAGGATAAAAATAAGCATTTTTTGAAATTATACATGGTTACATACATCTAATTGGAAAAATTGAATTTGTTGATAGTATTATTTTTCTATTGTTTGGGTCGAAAAATAGGCATGCCATAGTAGAAGAATTAGCTGGATTTGGTGCCATAGTTTATACATGTTGTAGAAATCAAGAACAACTTGATCAATGTTTAGAGAAATGGAGAGGCAAAGGTTACAAAGTAGAAGGATGTGTATGTGATTTGACTTTGAGACCCCAAAGAGAGATGCTTATGGAGAAGGTTATCAATTATTTTCAAGGAAAGCTCAATATTCTAGTAAGTTTTTTTCTTAAAAGAATTTTACCTATTTTCTTCATTTCAATTTACGTGATACACTTTAATTGAATTTAAAGTGAAAAAAAAAGGAAAAAACTTTGAAAACTTCTGAGCAGGGTCGAGGTGAAGTCAGGTAGGTAAAAGGGTGCATCTGAACCTTAATAGGTCAAATTGCAAGCAACTTAGATCCAAACGATATCTAATAGGTTAAATTGGATGATTACTTTTTTTTAATTATTTTACTTTGAACCCCTCAACGAAAAATTACATTATATATTTAAGGTAAATATATTGCTTTTTATATATACTGCCTTAAACATAAGAAATCTCTAACTTGAATGTAAAAGTACTACAATAATCCCAACTAAAAACTAGGGGTGTGCATTCGGTTTTTCGGTTCGGTTTTGTGTTATTCGGTTTGGGTTTTTCGGTTTTTGGTTTTGAAAAAGTATAACCCAATCCGAACCAAAAAAAATTGGTTTGGTTCGGTTTTTCTCTTTTCGATTTGGTTTTTTTCGGTTTGGCTATTCGGTTATAACTTATTTCATAACTAATTAAGAACATAATCAAAGTTATATTTGCATGCTTAAAAAATAAAAATTCCATGTAAGGAAAAGTAATAATATTGAATCTCTTAAATATCCTTTCCATTATAATCACGAGTAAAACATTAAAACACAATACTATCAATAATTTCAATGAAACTAACTCTAAACTCTAAAGTACTATCACTTAACACAAATCGCATCAAGGTTGAACCAGCAATTCAATTCATGTCTTCAATTAAGATCTCTTAAACCTGAAATATGATGAAAGAACTTTTTAGAAAGAAGTAGATGAAAATTTCAAAAGCAAATAGCACGCAAATAAAATAAAGCAAGAAAAAAGAGCAAACTGCAAAAGTAAAAAAGTTGACTAGCGCCGCTAATTCTAGTTCAGCTAATTTTTTTTCATGAAAGTGCAAGTAATATGTGATATTTATAGTTATAATGTAAAATCTAATGTCTAAAATTTAGTGAAATAGGATGGCAGTAATTTGATATGGGCCTAAATATTACGGTAATTCTGAATTACTAGTACTCTACGGCCTACATAGTAAATCTAAATATTATAAGTGTAATTATTAGTCTATATATATATATATATATATATATAGT